TATATTGCTGCCATTTTGTTTCTCTTTGAAAATTTACTAGTGCACAGGATCTTCCTCCTGTGGATATGTTTGTGACAAGCGCAGACCCGGTGCTTGAACCGTCAATACTCACTGTAAACACAGTCATATCCTTATTGGCAGTTGACTATCCAGCAGATAAACTAGCTTGCTATGTATCGGATGATGGTTGCTCCCCTATAACCTACTATTCTCTTGTTGAAGCATCCAAGTTTGCTAAGATTTGGGTTCCATTTTGCAAGAAGTATAACATTCAAACTAGAGCTCCATTCAGATACTTTTCTAGTGAGCTCATTTTAACCGGCAGTTGTAATTCCTTGGAATTCCAGCAAGAATACAACAAGATGAAGGTAGTTTTGGACTTGGGAATTAATTAATCTTATCTCTCAGTATTTGTTTCTCTCTTTGCTAGAGTACCCACCACCACCGAGCATAACTTTATCATATCTGAAACGCCACCACCGAGCATAACTTTATCATATCTAAAACGTTTTAAAAAAAATTAAATTTTATTTTATTTATTTATTCATTTTAAATTAATATATTTTTAATATTATTAAATTATTTTAATATACTAATATTAAAAATAATTTTTTAAAAAAAAAAATCATAAATATATATTTTAATAAAAAATTATTTAAAAAATAACTACAAACAAAGTAAAGTTTTATTTACAAATTAAAAAGTGTACCGAAGTAGAGATGACATGAATGTTTTAGGGAATAAAAATGTCGTGTATATCAAAATAAATACAATAATTATATCAAAATTAATATAATTAATTTCTGTATATAGCTTAATGTTAATATGCATTGCACCTAGGAATGCCATTTAGAAATTCTTGAGGGTGTAATATATATATATATATATAAGATAATAGAACAAAATTGAAGTGGTTGGACTAACTACAAATGGTACGAAAATGTTTTGTTTTCATGCTTGGTAGGATGGGTATGAGGAGCTTGCCTCCAAAATCAAAGATGCAGTCGAAAAATCCATGGAGTGGGATCTAATCGGTGATTTTGCCGTCTTCTCGAATATGGAGCGCAAAAACCATCCGACTATTATCAAGGTTCACGCATTACAAGGCATATGTTGATTCATGATGGTTATCACTACTGCTATTATTATTTTGTTTTTAGGTGCTTTCTTTTTATATATATATATACATATGATGCTCTTTTGCATGGTAATTTTTGCTTCTTTTTTTTTATTAAGTTTCTCAGATCTTGAACGTGCAATCCCTGCTAATTTTAGACAAATTTCTTGTAGGTTATAAGGGACCAGAATGATGCTGGACTTTCAGAAGCATTGCCGCATTTAATTTACGTATCAAGAGAGAAGAGGCCAGAGCATCCACATCGCTATAAAGCAGGTGCCATGAACGTCTTAGTAAGTTTTTTTTCTTTTCAAAATCACAGTTCTTGCATTCAGTGTACTGGCAGTCCACATCTTGAACTTATATCCCAGCCTATACTTGTTAATTAACCCGCCGTTATGGCCAGGATTTATTTATTTGTTTGTTTGTTTTTTCATGATGAACAGACCAGAGTCTCTGGATTGATAACAAATGCTCCATTCATGTTGAACGTGGACTGCGACATGTTTGTCAACAATCCACAGATTTTTCTGCATGCGATGTGTCTGTTACTCGGTTCCAATGATGAAAGAGAAAGCGGGTTTGTTCAGTGTCCTCAATGTTTCTATGATGGACTCAAGGATGATCCATTTGGGAACCAGTTCGTGGTTGAACACAAAGTAAGGGCGTCCAAAATCCTATCTATACATAAAAAGTTGCAGAAACTCTCTCTCAACGATGCGAAGAAGAGTAATATATATTGGTTATTAATTGGCTTTGAATGTGTGAACTGGTTAGTACATGGGGAATGGAGTAGCTGGGATTCAAGGTCCTTTTTATGAAGGAACAGGATGTTTTCACAGAAGAAAAGTCATTTATGGTTCATGTCCCGATGACATCGGAAATCAAGCGAAACGGCTCACTCCAGTTCATGGTAATTATGCACACATACATCCATGCGGGAAATTACTGTTTTTATATCTAAAATGCTGTGAATTATAATAGTAATTTATGTTGTATTTTTTTTATATTGTTCTTTTAATTTATTTTTTTTCAACATTCCTATTTTTTTGTAAAAAAATTTTTTGTTGATTTTACTTTTTAAATATTAAGCTGTTTAAAATTTTTGTTTTATAATTTTTCTCCTTTAAAATATTGTGAATTGTTACAGTATTTTTCCATATAGTGTTTTTTCGTATGATTTTTTTGTTGTTTTTATGATTTTTTTAAATTTTATTTTTTAATATAGAGCTGGTTAAAAATTACAGTTACAATATGTAAGAAAAATGCTATAACTTTCCTTATAATTACTGCAGATTGCTATAATGTTTTTTCATATATGATTTTTTCTATTTTGTTATGTTTTTTTTTCTAAAATTATTTTGATTAATTTTATTTTTTAAATATTAAATTAGTTAAGAATTGCAATTAAAAGTAAATATAAGTTTTTCTTCACAGAACTTTATGGATTGATACAATTTTTTTCATATGTTTTTTATCCAATTCTTTTTGTATTTTTTTGTAATATGTTTTTTCAAAAATTTATCCACATCCAAATGCCCTGCCGACAATGCATTCATCCTCTTTTCTTTTTTTTTCATTCCCTATTTTTACAATTTTTCATTTTTTCCCTTTTCCCTTTATTTTGTTTAATTTTCCTTTTTTTTCTAATTTTCTTCTTTTTTTATTTATTATTTTTTTCAAAAATTTTTTTGTTGATTTTACTTTTTAAATATTAAGCTGGTTAAAAATTTTATTTTATAATTTTTTTAAATATTATGAATTACTGTAGTGTTTTCCATATAATGTTTCTCTACATGATTTTTTTATTGTTTTTTGTGATTTTTTATTTTATTTTTAAATATTGAGCTAATTAAAAATTATAGTTATAATATGTGAGAAAAGTACTTTAAATTTCCTTGCAAAATATTGTAGATTGCTATAATATTTTTTTTCCATATGATTTTTTTGTTTTGTTATGTTTTTCCCTAAAATTATCTTGGTTAATTTTATTTTTTAAATATTACGCTGATTAAGAATTGCAATTACAAGTAAATACAAGTTTTTCCTCACAAATCACTATGGATCGATATAATTTTTCCTTACATGGTTTTTTTCAATTTCTTTTGAATTTTTTTTGGAATATATTTTTTCTAAAATTATCTTTATTGATTTTATTTATATTGAATTGGTTAGAATTTAATTTTGTAATAAAGTTTAATCATGTGGAGAAAAAACTATAACTTTCCTCACAAAACATTGTGGATTTTTACAATGTCTCTCCACATGTTTTTTTTCTTATGATTTTTTTAAAATTATCTTTGTCATGTGAATATGTGAGGAAAAACTTAGCCATTGTGGATTGATACAGTTTCTTATGATTTTATCTTTGTCATTTTATGATTTTTTTTAAAAAAACTGTGAATTATTGTAATGTTTTTCCATATTATTTTTTTATAACTTTTTAAAATTATATTTGTTAATTTTTTGAATATGAAGTTGGTTAAAAATTATAATTAGAATAAAACTAAATCATATGAAGAAAGTATTGTAGTTTTTTCTCACAAAACATTGTGAATTGCTATAATATTTCTCTAAATAATTTTTTATTTTATTAGTTTTCCTCACAAAACATTATAAATTACTATAATATTTTTCCTCGTGGGTTTTTTTCCATGCAAAATTATTTTTGGTAGTTTTTGTAATATTAAGTTGGTAAAGAAATTAACTGTAATATTTTTTTTATTTTTTATTAATAAAAAAGTTAAATTATATAGTGAAAATACTATATATTTTCTCACAGAACACTATAAATTATTACAAAATATTTTATTTAGTCTCTAAATTTGTAACCACTTATATAATTTTTTTGTTATAAAATATTACTTCCATCTTATTTTTAATTTTAATTATTTATCTAGCATTACTTCGTAATTATAACATTATCACTTATTTTTATTTTATAATCATGCAGCGTGCAGTCATACCAACTCGTACTTGTTATATAGCAATTATTCCTTCTCTTCTCTTGCAACTATTATCGATCGATCACACCCTTTCTTCTTCTTTTATGAACAAGGTGGTTTATCATACAAGGAGCAGCTAAGGATATTTGGCGATTCAAAGGAGTTTATCAGATCAGCTGCTCATGCACTACAAGGGAAGGAAAATATTAGTCCTAAAAATCTTCCAACCTTAGTTGAGGCAGCACACCAGGTTGCTGGTTGTGGCTACGAGTACGGTACTAGCTGGGGCATAGAGGTTAGTGGGAACAAAAATCGAAGGGTTTAATTGCTAAACTTGTATCATTTTTCATGCTTAGAAAAGCTTTCTTCCCCTCCCCATAATTTATAATGATTGACTGGTATTGGTGGCGAGTTTTATCTCAGGTGGGTTGGCAATATGGATCCGCAACAGAAGACATCCTCACTGGATTAATGATCCAAGCTAGGGGATGGAGGTCCGTTCTCTGCTC